AGTATAAAAGAATGGCATTCTCTCAAAATGAATATAAATTTAGAGAAGCTTAGTTTCTCTTGTAGGTTTGTTTAACAGAAACAGTTATCCAACTGTTAGTAGCACTACAATCAAAAGACTATATTTAAAAAGCAAATACTTATAAGCCCCCTGCTCCCCAGACTCTCAGTGTTTCATCCATGTATCCCACCCTTGAAGTGGGCATAAGAAGAAATCATATGCATAGCAGATACTGTATATAAATCCAGTGCCATACAGCAGCAGTCTGCAAACCACCATTTGCTTTTTTAAATAAAGTTTTAGTGGAATGCAGCCACGACCCATTCATTCACATTTGTCTTTGGCTGCTTTCTTGCTCCAAAAGCAAAAGTGAATAGTTACAACAGACTGGATAACTACAAAGCCTAGCAGATTTACTATCCTGTCCTTTTAGAGCACAGATTTGCTAATCTCTGTTCTAAAGCTATATGATCCAACATAGTAGTCACCAGTCAGTCATATGTGTCTTCTGAGCACTTTAAATATGGCTTCCTAAATTGAGATGTGTTGCGTGACACCAAACTGTGAAGGCTTTGTGAAAACAAGAATACAAAATATCTCATTAACAATTCATTCTTTTTATGTTGAAATTTTAATATTCTAGGTATGTATATAAACTAGGTTAAATAAAATATATTATTAAAATTAACTTTTCATATTTCTTTTTACTTTATTATGTAATAACTAGATAATTTTAAATTATACCTGTGGTTTACACTGTATTCTTATTGGACAGAACTAAACTACTGCCAAGTGACTCAGCACACCCAATTCTATTAAAAGATAATGGTAGGGCTGGGGTTGTGGCTCAGTGGTAGAGCGCTTGCCTAGCCCATGTGAGGCACTAGGTTTGATCCTCAACACCACATAAAAAATAAAGAAAATAAAGATATTGTGTCCATCTACAACTAAAAAAAGTTAAAAAAAATGGCAAAACTTAAGGTTTACATATTTAAACATTCCTCCATGTAGTGACTTTGTGTTCATTAAAAGATAATTTATTTAATTAACCTAAGAAATAGACAATGAAATTAAATTGTCTGTATTTTTGCCTTTTAAGCAAATATAATGATTAATTCATTCATCAAAAGTATGAGTATTATAGATTTATGAAAGATAATTTTAAAAACTAAAAAAAAAAGTTATAAAATATTAACCCTGTATGCTTGTAACTGTAAAAATCTAGGGGCTGGGGATGTGGCTCGAGTGGTAGCGCGCTCGCCTAGCATGCGTGCGGCCCGGGTTCAATCCTCAGCACCACATACAAACTAAGATGTTGTGTCCGCCAAATACTAAAAAATAAATATTAAAATTCTCTCTCTTTCCCTCTATCACACTCTTTCTTAAAAAAAATAAAAAACTGTAAAAATCTATTAGAAACAGTTATAAACTGTGTTTATACAAAGAAAGATAAAACAGACTATATCAAACAAGAGTACTTGTGCCTGGATGATAAAATTTAGTACTATTTTTAAAAATTTATTTTGTACATTGCTACAATGTTGCTATTAGAATAAAAAATATTCTAATAATTTCTAGTCAGATAAAAATACAAACTCATAAGCACTCTAAAGATATAAATTAGTAAATTTTTATAATAAACTAAGAATTATACAGTTAATATTTAAATACAAAACCTCTAAAATTAAAAGTTTAAATTGCATTTAAAAATTAAAAGTACATATACCTAATCTCCCAAAATGTTTCTACAGGAGCATCAGGATTCCACAAATCAATGCTATCTAACTGATGAAGAACCAGCAAAGCCTGAATTTTAAAAAAAGAAAGAGAGAAAACTCACTCAAAACAATTTGGGAAAAAATAACCTTTAGTTAGTATTTATTTTATAAATGGTAACAAATTGAGCTATGTAAAGCTACAAAGACTTGATATGCAGTAAAGACAAAAGAGAAAAACCCTAGAGAACACAAATCTCTTAAGGAATACCATACAGAATGAAATCACTTTATTCCTGTCATGTTTACTCTAAACAGCACACACAAAGTTAAATGATGAACTCAGAATAATATAGACACATAAAAACTGCTTTCAGAAGCAAACTAAATGATTTGAATAAAGAACTTTCTGTAATAAAAAGTTCATTCCCATCCCCTTCTTAGAAATTTAAAACAAAAAAGTTTAGATTTTTCATTTCAGCAATGAGACTAATACATTGTAAAAACATAATAAATTTATTAAAAATAAAACGGTTAATCTCTAGTAAAGGGGTTCCCCAAAATTAACGCACACAGCAAAAGATAAAGTGGAAATTATCTTGCTTCCCACAGATATTTACTGACAAGATAAGTTATATAGGGAGTGTATTAAACATGTATTTCATAACAGATTATTCATTCTAAAGTAATTCAATTGACCATAAAATTAAACTTCGAATTTGGTACACAGAGCGTTAACAGGAATTAAATAATTTACTTTAAATATACAATTACCACATAAATACATTATTCTTATATAAAGAGCAAAGTGTATACCCCTCCTTCAATACCCAACATTAACTCCAAGTCGACAATGTTTTCCCCTCCTCCTACTCCAACAAATATAGTTGATCTCTGTATATTATTTGAGTCTTTGATCAAAATATTTAGAGATTCTTTGAAGCTTTTTATTAAAATTCCAATAAAAATATTATTGGGATACATAAGGAGAACTGATTTTTTTTCTTTAAAACCAAATCAAATGCTTCAACTGTAAATGATGTCACTGATAACCTGCCTCACAATAGGAAAAGATACATAAATGTAACTTTGGACTACTTTAAAACTTCAAAAGACACAGAAAAGTATCCAATTACTAAAGGAGTGGGGATGTGGAATGATGGGCTTCTTTTTGGGGTGATAAAAGTGTTCTGGAATTAGATAGTAATTGTAAAACTGTGGATATGCTCAAAATGCACACCTTAAAATGAACTTATAGGTAGGCAAAATATGCTCCAATTTTATAAATGACATTTTAGTAAGTTTAAAAAATAAAATGCATATACAAAATTTTGACCTTTTTTATTAAGCATAAGAATTTGCACAATATAATCCCAGCTACTCAGGAGGCTGGGATGAGAAGATCATTTGTCCAGGAGTTTGAGGCCACACTGGGCAATACAATGAGACCATGCTCAAAAAAAAAAAAAACACCAAACAAGCAAACAAACAAAAAATGAATTTCACCCAACATTGCTACTACCTATGACATAAGGCAAATCAACCCTTTCTTTCTCCATGGAATTTCTAAAATAATACATAGACACAAACATACTATTTCCAGAAATGATATCTACCTATTACCCATAGAAGTCATACACCAGAGGAACATCAAGAATGTATATAGAGAAGGAAAGAAGAGGTTTTGGGAAACGGGAAATTAACCTGATCAAATTATATTGTTATATTGTGTGTACATAAAATATGCAATAGTGAATTTCACTATAATGTATAATTAATTATAGTGCACCAATTTAAAAAAAATTACATAGAAATTTTTTAAAATAATGTACACATTTATAGCTTTTCCTTCAAGAGTCTAGAATTCATTTCCCCCTTACCTCCATTGCTTCCTGAGCAATCTCTGGCATGTGCGACTGAGGGACCAGTTGGACGAGCCCTGTAATTAATTCAGCTGTACTGCCTTGGGTTTCGGGCCCCTGTTTTCTTGGATTCTGCAAAGGAAAGAGCAAACATCAATTAAAACAAAACAAAACCGACAGGGATCATGAAGAGGAGGGAAGAGAGCAACTGATAATTGGTACTAAATTTCTTTTAGAGGTGATGAAAATGTTCTAGAGTTAGTGGAATTAGTTGCAGAACTTTGTAAATATTCTAAAAACCACTGAATTAAACATTTTAAAATGGTGAATTTCATGGTATGTAAATTTTAACTCAATAAAAAAAATTTTTTAAATCAAAACAGCATTTGTTATAGATTCTTTTAATCCACATTTATACTTATTCATTAATGTAAATAATACCCATGGAAATTTATAATTAAAAGAAATAAAATTAAACATTAGCTTTTCTTTCTTTTTTAATATTTATTTTTTAGTTGTAGTTGGTTGGACACAATACCTTTATTTTATTTATTTTTATGTGGTATTGAGGATTGAACCCAGGGCCTTGCACGTTCTAGGTGAGTGCTCTACCGCTGAGCCACAAGTATTAAGAACTTGGTATGTAGGTCAATGGCAGAGTGCTTGTCTAATCTGAGCAAGGCCCTGAGTTTGATAAAAACAAAATAAAAAATAAATGAAGTGTAAGTAATTTTTTTTCAACAGTATACTGCCTAAATAATGTAAGTCTGGTTTGGAATTTACTGGTTTTTTTCTTTTTTCTAAATAGATGGACACAATATCTTTTTATTTATTCTTATGCGGTGCTGAGGACCTAACCCAGTGTCTCACACATGAGAGGCAAGTGCTCTACCACTCAGCCACAACCCCAGCCCACTTACTGGTTTTGAGCTTACAAATGACTGTATATTTTAAAACAAAAAACACACATATTGGAAGAAGACTGCATGATTTTCCTGTACAGTCCTTTTTATATTGTAGAAAGGTCCTATTCAAATCCACAGAGCTGATGTCAAAGAGGACTAGAATCCACACCTCCAGACAGCCATATTTCAATCCTTTTCATTGTGGAAAAATATATTGCACCAAGCAAAGATAAGTATTGATTGTATAAATGTGAATACCTAATTAAAGATATTAAAATGTGCCTGGCACAGTGGTACACGCCTTTAATCCCAGCAGCTCAGGAGGCTGAGGCAGGATGATCACAAGTTCAAAGCCAGCCTCAGCAACATAACAAGGCCCTAAGCAACTTGGCAAGATCTTAGCTCAAAAACTAAATAAGATATAAAAAGGGCTGGGGGTGTTGCTCATTGGTTAAGGTTCTCTGGGTTCAAACCCCAGTACTTCACCCACACACACAAAAAGAAGCTGGAAAAGTGTGAAATGTTTCCCATAACTTAGAAGATGTATTTACACTTCAAAAATACATGGTATGTGGTGGTACATGCCTGCAATTCCAGCTACTCAGGAGTCTGAGGATCATAAGTTTAGGGCCAGCCTAGGCAACCCAGCAAGACCCCTTCTCAAAATAAAATATAAAATGGGCTGGGGATGTAGGTCATTAGTATCACAAACAAATAAACAAAATGCTTCATTTAAGTGAAGCCATCTTAACTTGTGTCCATATTTATCCTAACTACAAAATCATTCCCTATTATAGTGACTGAGGTAGGCCGTTCACCAAAAGTATAGTTCTAATTCAAAACTGTTAACCTATTTTCCAACATTTATATTCATTCATTCATTCCCCAATAGTATTTACTGAATACCAAAGAAAAAACAAATTTTAAAAAGGCATTTTCTACCCTCCAGCAGCATGTAGTTTCAGGAGGAAAAAAACATCAATAAAATAATTAGGATGGTGTAGGACAAGTATAAAACTACAAATGAGATAAGTACAATAAAGTTATATCTGCAATGAGAGCCTATACCAGGGAAATATAGCCTAGTCAGGGAGGCTTCCTAGGGCGGGGATAATATTTTAGAATTATTAGGAATTTCTCTATAAAGAGAAGAGAGAAACAGAGCAAATAACAAAGGCAGATATGAGGGAATATGGTAACAAGAATTGAAAGAAGATTCATTATATTATGACTTGAGTACAGAAGACAAAACATAAGCTAGATGTAGAAGAACTGGTAGATGAGAGAAAGGTTTTGCAAGACTTGGTACATCTGTCTGAAGTTTGGTCATTATCCCAAGAGCAATTTCAACCAAAAGGTTTTAAGTTGGGCAGGGGGCATTACAGGATCTGCTTTTTAAAGATATCATTATAAATTTCAGAGTACAGAAAGGATTAAGGGGATGCAAGAAATACTGGAGGTTAAACTTGAGGCTTGAAAAATTGAGAGTAACATGATTAGGACAAAGATGATAAAGATGGAAGATAAAATCATATTAGTTTAAAAATACCACAACTGAGACCATTTAATAGTTATTCCTATATTCCTATTAGCTAAGATTTAGAATTTTGATAAATCACAGAATAATTAAATATTTACAATAAATCTTTCACAATTTTACTTATCATTACTTTGAGAATAGCCATTTAGCCACTAGATGGCAGTAAAGAAAATAATTTCTATAACTCTTGGAAAATAGCAAATTTTGCTTAAACTCTTGTCTTCAAACAGTAATATATTTAGCATAAAAGACATTGATGACTTTGATGTATTCGTTGAACCTGAGTTAAGCCATGTAAACAGTGGTACTAATACTGTGAGACACACATGATGAGGCAACATCATAACTTGTGTCATATAACAAAGAAATAAGGAAAAAAGACATTTCATTACTTTCAAAGGCTCACTCACAAATTTTACAGTTTTCCAAGCCAAAGATTTAACTATTTATTCTACTAGACTCTAGAATTTGAATGGGCCTTTCGGAAAGTTCAGAATATCAGGCCTTCTTTCAGGGTCACTGATCCTTTTGGGAGTTCTTTCTCACTGTTTTCTTATTTCCTCTATATCCAGAAAAAATTACTTAAAATATACATTTTTTCATAATTCAGGGGCTTCATAGAACCCCTACATTATAGTAATGTAAAAAAATCGATCAAAACTGAAAGTACCACAGCCCTTAAAAAGCGTGTTACTGAATAAAGCAGTAATAAACTTTGCTTGCTGTTATACTCTAAGAACTGCAGAACCTTGACAAAGGTTAAATATGTTCTCCTATTAACTTCATAGAACTGTCATAGCAGGGACATTAATAATATTAACGCTAACTCTCTTTTCAGTATTAACAAAAAATAACACTTTTTAGTGCTTATTATATGCCAGGAACTGTTCATAAAAACTTTCTATATACTATTTCAATTGTCTTAATGATCTCTCTGAGGTAGAAACTAGTATTATTCCAATATTTCAGGTGAAAAATCTAAGGTACAAAGAGGTTAAATAAATCACCTAGCTAGTAAATTAGTCTGTCTCCAGAGCTCATGCTTTTAATCACTTCATGTGATTACTTTAATCACTCATTTACAGCATTTACATCAGTTCCTAATTATTGTGTGATGTTCTCAGAAATCTAAAACCATCTGAGGCAATAAAAGCAGAGTTACAACAATAAGTAAGTACTAACCACATCATTTTCATCATTCTCCTTCCAATACAGTATCTGCAAACAGAGTCAATGAAAACAGAAAGTTGATGAAAAGAAAAAGGGGAACAAAAAGCTAAACTGTTTAAGACAACAGCAAGGCGAAATTAAAAAGAACAAAGAGTATAGATATTGGAATACACCTTGATTTATGGTTCCTTTGAAAACTTACACAAAGTAAAAGCTTTGGATCTGCATGAATTAGTTTCACCATGGACAAGAGAAGATACTTATAACTTCTTGTCTCCACATCCGTAGGTTTTTCTTTAAATTTAAGGCTTGTTACTTTTTCTTTAAATGTAAGACTCTGAAAATAAAACAAAAACATAGTATCACCTTGTAAGAATCAGATATTAGATGTAGGAAAAATAGTTATTTAAATTTAAGAAATTCATTATAGCTGAGTATGGTAGCATAATCCTGTAGTGGCAGCTGAGACAGAAACATTACAAATTTGAGGCAAGCCTATCTCTAAATTTGAGATCCTATCTCTAAATACAAAGGACTGGGGATGTAGCTTAGTAGTAAAGTTCCCCTGGGAAGGGAGGGAGGGAAAAAAGGAAGAAGGAGGGGGAGAAGAAGGGAAAGTGCCTGGAGGAAGCAGGGAGGGAGGGGGCTAGGGGGAGGAATTCATTCATTCTAAAAAGCTTTACAAAACAGACTTATAGACATATTTTTATACCATCAAATGTGTGTTATTATTAGAAACACTAAATTTTATATATATATTAGTTGTAGATGGGACACAATATCTTTATTTTTTTTTTAATGTGGTACTGAGGATCGAACCCAGGGCCTCCCGCATGGGAGGCAAGCACTCTACCACTGAGCTACAACCCCAGCCCTAGAAAC